GGGGGACTGTCACTCCGTGGGGGACTGTCACTCCGTGGGGGACTGTCACTCCGTGTGGGACTGTCACTCCGTGGGGGACTGTCACTCCGTGGGGGGCTGTCACTCCGTGGGGACTGTGACTCCATAGGGGGACTGTCACTCCGTGGGGGGCTGTCACTCCGTGGGGGGCTGTCACTCCGTGGGGGACTGTCACTCCGTGTGGGACTGTCACTCCGTGGGGACTGTCACTCCGTGTGGGACTGTCACTCCGTGGGGACTGTCACTCCGTGGGGGACTGTCACTCCGTGGGGGCTGTCACTCCGTGGGGGACTGTCACTCCGTGGGGGCTGTCACTCCGTGGGGGACTGTCACTCCGTGTGGGACTGTCACTCCGTGGGGACTGTCACTCCGTGGGGACTGTCACTCCGTGGGGACTGTCACTCCATAGGGGGACTGTCACTCCGTGTAGGACTGTCACTCCGTGGGGACTGTCACTCCGTGGGGACTGTCACTCCATGGGGGGCTGTCACTCCGTGTAGGACTGTCACTCCGTGGGGACTGTCACTCCGTGTGGGACTGTCACTCCGTGTGGGACTGTCACTCCGTGGGGACTGTCACTCCGTGGGGGACTGTGACTCCACAGGGGGACTGTCACTCCGTGTGGGACTGTCACTCCGTGGGGGGCTGTCACTCCGTGGGGGCTGTCACTCCGTGGGGACTGTCACTCCGTGGGGACTGTCACTCCGTGGGGGATGTCACTCCATAGGGGGACTGTCACTCCGTGGGGACTGTCACTCCGTGGGGACTGTCACTCCGTGGGGGACTGTGACTCCATAGGGGGACTGTCACTCCGTGGGAGATGTCACTCCGTGTGGGACTGTGACTCCGTGGGGGACTGTCACTCCATGGGGGCTGTCACTCCATGGTGGACTGTCACTCCGTGGGGACTGTCACTCCGTGGGGAGCTGTCACTCCATGGGGGCTGTCACTCCGTGGGGGGCTGTCACTCCATGGGGGCTGTCACTCCATGGGGGATGTCACTCCATGGGGGATGTCACTCCATGGGGGCTGTCACCCCGTGGGGGGCTGTCACTCCGTGGGGGGCTGTCACTCTGTGGAGGGCTGTCACTCCGTGGGGGACTGTCACTCCGTGGGCGACTGTCACTCCGTGGGAGACTGTCACTCCGTGGGGGGCTGTCACTCCGTGGGGGGGCTGTCACTCCATGCGGGGCTGTCACTCCGTGGGGGACTGTCACTCTGTGGGGGGCCATCACGGCGTGGGGCGCTGTCTCTCCGTGGGGACTGTCACTCCGTGGGGGGCTGTCACTCTGTGGGGGACTCCTCCGGCGTGGGGGGCTGTCACGGCGTGGGGGGCTGTCA